AAGGAGATGAGATGGAATAGGATCAAGCGGACAAGTAGTAGGATGATTAGAAAGGATGAGTTTGGAGACTTCTGCCTCAGAAAGTGAAGAGAAGGATGTTAACGAGTGTATGTTTGCTGGTAAGATGTGCTTGACAGATTGTGGTGTAGAAAATTGTGCACTGACGGTTTTAATTTTATTAATTAAGTCAAGTTCACTTGTGCAGCCACTCACAGCCTTTTGTGGAATTGTAAGTTGCAATATTTTAGTTGCCGTGTTTCGCTGCGGGATTGCAGGCATTGTGTGCAATTCTACACATTGGGATTGAGTGGTACCACGTCTTCTCCCACTCTCTCAACATACACAAACGGCCTCACATCCATAATTAGGAACCGAGCACCACGGTGTGAGGACCCTATTGGAATTGCTCCATTTATTATTATTATTATTATTATTATTAGGGCCCGAGCACCACGGTGTGAGGACCCTCTTGGAATTGCTCCTTTTATACTATATTGCATTTTTAAGCGCCTAAACATTCTCGAAAACTCACGAAACTTTGCACATGCATCAGAATTGGCAAACATTTACATTTGATATGGGTTTCAAAATTGGGCGTGGCAAAAAGGCTCGATAGCACCATCTATAAAATGTCAATGAGCGCCCCTCCCGCTACGTTTCACGCAAGTGTACAAAATTCAGTACATGCATGTAATGTCCCATTACCTACAAAAAAGTCTCTTGGAGCGAAGTATTAAATGCAACAGGAAGTGAGTTCAAAGAGTGCTGTCAGTCAGATTTACAGTATGTGAATTCATCAGTTTCTCCAGAAATACATGTAAGTAAGTGGCCAGCAGTGGTGTAATGTAACGAAGTAATAATACTTCGTTACAGTACTTAAGTATTTTTTGGGAGTATCTGTACTTTACTTGAGTTTTTATATTTCAGCCAACTTTTACTTTTACTCCACTACATTTCCTAATTAAAATTTATTCTTTTACTCCGATACATTTTCCCGAAGCATATTCGTTACTTACTACAAAATAGTCAGAAGTCAGTAGAACACGGACTGCAGGAAAAGCAGGTTTGACAAATCAGTGGTCTGGCATTTGCAAGTTAGATTCATAAAAACACCTTTGCTCATGTGCAAACCAAACAAGTGCGCGCACAACCGCGGATGATTCATTTTCCACTCAAGTCGAGTCTGGGGTGTGCGATACCGCATCATCTGCGATAATATGGTAAGTGTTGTAATGATGTGCGATCGGACATTATCAAGTAGGCTATATAACCAAATCACACACAGAGTGCACGAACGTTTATTAGTCTATTAAAACTTAAAATTCCAGGCATTCTAAATTGTAGATGGCAAAAATGCTTCTGTATTATTTTTATATTTATATAATTTAATATAATATAGTTAACAATCTATATCACACAAAGAGTACCATTTTTCTGCAGATATCAGCATGAACACATGTAATAATCCGTTTATACAAGTTCAATAAAGCAATAAGTGACTTACATTTTAGATATAATATTGTTTGCTTTTGCTCTATTTTGCTAACGAAAATAGTTCCAAACAAAGATCACAGCACTGTTTTGGGTCTCTGTGCAATGGACGGTGTTTACTTATTGAATGAATCAGCTTTTTGAACGAATCGGTTGAATAAATGATTCAGTGATTCACTCATTACCACAAATGCTTTGGCTGCGTCCGAAACTACGTCTGGCTGCGTCGCCTACTTCTCTACTATATAGTAGGCGAAAAGCAGTAGGCGAGCGAATAAGTATGTCCGAATCCTTACTGTGCGTTCACACCGCCGCCGTCGTCGAGAGCGTCAAAGTGGCCGGAAGTCATTAATTTTCAATGTGAGCCGGCGTCGAGCAGCAGCGCGGCGTGACTTGGACGTTGAGGGCGTCGAGGAGAGTTGAAATCAGGTCAACTTTATGGTAATGAGCTATGACGCGGTTCGGCGGCATCTGGCGGCAACCAATCGGAACGTAGAAGTCCACCGCTTGAGAGGATTCCAGAGAACGCAGTCCTGTAAACTTTGGTTCCGACCACATTAGTTCCCAAGCAAAATGGAGGAGAGGTTGACTATTGCTGTGGCGGGTTTCCCAATAATCTATGACAGGGACATAAAAATAAATAAATAAATGATGCGTGGACCAAGGTGTCTGAGATTGTTGGTGCTCCTGGTGAGTTGCTGATGTGCATTAACGTTATAGTAATAATAATCTAATGACATAATAAATAATAGTATAATAGTCCCAGTTCACTTTTAAACCTTTAAAACAATTTTCCTGATTATTCTTACATTAAGTAATGTTTATACCTGATTATACTTACTTAAGTAACATTTTCAATGCAGGACTTTTACTTGTATCAGAGTATTTTTACAGTGTGGTATTAGTGCTTTATATATTATGAGGTAAAGGATCTTTATACTTCGTCCACAACAATATTTAATGAGGTTAACTTGTAACGTTACCCTCCTTGTGGTCAGTCTGCACAAGATCAACAAGCGTGTTTGCTTTGCGTCCCCTTTAAATACAAGATAAGCGTTCGATCTACGTCAGAGCGTCACAGCGTCCACGAAGCTTTCTACAGCGTTGTTGGCAGGGCGGCCACAGCGATTTCTGACGCTCTCGACGGCGGCGGTGTGAACGCACAGTTAGTATTCATAAAAGAGTAGGCGAGAATTACCTGGGTTACGTACTAATTCTCGCGAGATTCGGACACGCGTCTACTTAAAGTGCGTCCGAAACCGCCTACTTCTCTACTATATAGTAGGGGAAAAGCAGTAGCCGAGCGAATAAGTATGTCCAAAACCTCAGTATTCATAAAAGAGTAGTCGAGAAGTTCCCGGATGTCCTACTGCTTCTGCCCAGCTTCTTCAGTGCTCGCCGATGGATACTTTTCTATCCCAGGAGGCCACGCGAGAGGATACATCATAAAGAAGAAGAGGAAAGGTCATAATCGAACATGGCAGAACATTTGGATGAGGGTGTTTACAAATGTACGTATTACAAACCAAAAACACGGTTCCTTATTTTAAATTCGCATTTGTTGAACTACTTTAGAGCAAATTGTTGAAAGTGTAAAGATGCTAAATGGTATAGTATAGTTGTGATGTTGCTGTAAAAACACGTTTTATTATGTATAGCTAACAGGGGGCTCCAGTAGCACACGTACATCTCCAAAGTAGATTTACATACATTTTAAACCATATACATCTTACATACGATTACTAAATGTCTATTTAATATCTGGTAGGAAAATCTTCGATATGAATTTCATAGAAGTATGTCTAATAGGTCCTAGATATGAAGTCGACATCTGAGTGATGTATATGTGTTATTGTGTAGTACAATTCACTGTTGTCAGCACCGTTTGCAATAGATGAATGTAAGTAATGTAAATAAATTTCCATAAAGTAACTAAATATAAGTAATCTATTTTATTTGTCCATTAGTACTGTTGAAAAATTGAGGAACATTTGTGTTGGATAAAAATCTACTTAACACATCATCAACTACCTCAGAATGTAAATGTAGTTTTGAGCACACAAATCTCAGAGGGAGCTTGACTCTTGTCTGGATGTTACAGGAACAGATGAGACACACGTCTGCTTATCCGGCGGAGACGAGAGCGGCTAATGAAGCCCTCTTCACCAGAAAGCGGAATGCTGCCATCAAAGGCTTTGAGTGAGTATACTACAGAAATGAATAAAACAT